CAGGCACAGTTCAGTGTCTGAGAAAGCGTGTGCAAGCTGAGCAGGGGGAGGGGGGATCCCCTTCTATCTTCTGCATGGGGACCCCAGGTGATTTGTTAGTATAAACTGTGCAGATCAAGTAACTGTACATAAGGGCATGGTTTTAGTCCCTGTGTCTGGGTTAATTTCTCCTCTGCTTCTCCCCGCCCCCTCCACTCCCAGGCTTTTATTTTCAGGAAGGAACTATTCATAGAAGCCCTTGACTTCATTAGAAGCTTATCAGGTTCCTCAGAAGAGAGCAGGACTAGCTGCGGTAATACATGCCCTGCTGATATCGAGATTGGACGGCTGTATCACACTGCAGAAGTCTGCTTTTGAAAAATGTTTAGTGGCTGCAGTTTCTTCCAGATGCAGCAGCTGGCTTGGGCCTTGGGATAAATTTGTTGCTGTTGTTGTTGTTCAGTCGCACAGTCGAGTCTGACTCTTCGCAACCCCATGGACCACATCGCGCCAGGCCCTCATGTCCACCGTCCTCCAGAGTTTGCTCAACTTCATGTTCGTTGCATCGATAACACTGTTTAACCATCTCATCCATTGCCGTCCCCTTCTTCTTTGACCTTCAGTCTTTCCCAGCATCAGGGTCTTCTCCAGTGAGTGCTCCCTTCTCATTTGGGAGCCAAAGTATTTGAGCTTCAGCTTCAGTATCTGGCCTTCCGGGGAACAGTCAGGGTGGATTTCTTTTAGGATTGAGGAATACAGGGCTTTAAATGGGTTCCTCTGCCCAGTTCTGGCAGAGGAACCAATTTTGACCCTTACGTTGAGTCCAGGAGTTCATCAGAGACCACCTTCATTCCATACAAGCCTCCTGGAGCTTTCTTGGGGGCTTCTTTGCCTACCCTTCTGGAATCTGAAGTGTGGTGGGGTTGTGGGTGTGTGTCAGGGCCTTCTTTGGGATGGTACCAAAAGTATGAAATTTCACCTCCAGGAAGTTCCATTGTTAACTAGTCTCCATGAACATTTCTGGCTTCAACCTTGCTGCTCATAGAAGTTTGACTGTTGCTTATGATCTTCTTTCTGGCTGTGTTTTGTTGTTGTGTGTTTTATTTTGATGAAAGGAAGTTTATGAATATTTTAGTTCATTGCCAATACTGGGCAAGGTGCCAAAAAAGCATCACCGCTGTCACTAACCTTCTAAAACAGATCCTTCCCTCTCCAGTGTGCAGCTGCTGGGGAAGGTGAGCCATATCCTCGGGTGCATTCTCAGGTCAGATGAGATGACCTCTATGGCCACGGCGGTGTAGCAGCCGGAAGGCCCCACTTTGACTAGGGAGTCCCAGATTCAAATTCTACGTCCAACCACATAGTTTCCTGAGAGCGATTAGGCCAGTTGATATCTCAGAGTTGCTGTGAAGATGAAAGCGAGGTGGGGGGCCACCCTGTTCTATAATTCTGAATTTCCTGGAGGGAGGGCAGGATGAAGAAGCATAAGGTAAAGGTAAAGGTTCCCTTGCTCGAAAGCCAGTCGAATCCGACTCTAGGGTTGCGGTGCTCATCTCCGTTTCAAAGCCGAAGAGCCAGCGCTGTCCGAAGACGTTTCCGTGGTCATGTGGCCGGCACGACTAAACACCAAGGCGCATGGAACGCTGTTACCTTCCCACCGAAGTGGTGCCTATTGATCTACTTGCAATTTCTTGCTTTCGAACTGCTAGGTTGGCAGGAGCTGGAACTAGAGATGGGAGCTCACTCCATCATGCAGCACCCGGGTCTCGAACTGCTGAACTACTGACCTTCCACAGCCGGCAGTTCAGCGTCTTAACCACTTGAGCCACCGCAGCTAGGACAGCTGGCACTGGACATGAAATGAGCGCCTTGGAACCAGTATTCCCTCTAAGCTGAGTTAGTGTGAGCCAGCTCACAGCTTTTTAGCCTCCGGCCCACCCATTTTTGTCTTCGCTCGGGAAGGAGGGCCCCAGAGCAAACTGATTGATGCAGTATCCAAATCGCTCGCTCACAACTTTAATGCCAGTAGCTCACAAAGCAGAATTTTTGCTCACAGGACTCCACCGCTTAGAGGGAGCATTGCCTGGAACATGCCGCAGAATCCTCTGCCCCACACATGAGTTTTTAAATGCCATATGTAGGAGTTCTGCCTTGGACAAAGGGCTCCCTGAGTTGAAGTTCTGACACGGGGCACTGAGTGAGTGCAATTAAAGTTGGGGGTCAGCTTCTCAGGGCGTCAAGCCTCTGTATGTGGAGCTGTGTCTGTTTGAAAGAGGCAGGCTGGGCGGGAGCACACCTAGCAACCTGAAGGGAGTCTTAATTTGCATGGCTGATTAACTTTTCTCTCCTCTCTCCCCCCCTTTTTTTCCAGCTTCGAAAGCATGCAAAGGCTTTGTGACAAATACAATCGCGCCATTGATAGCATTCACCAGTTGGTACGTATTCCTGGCCGCCATGCCAGAACGCCTGGAATTCCTTCCGATGGCTGATCCCAGCCTCTTGCAAACCAAACAGTACTCACTGAGAATCTCGACTAACTTAGTAGGATGACTGCACGGGCCAGCACACTCGTATGGTTCTGTTGCGTTAACCTTGGTTAAAGTCTTGGAAATACAGTGAAGCTGCGTGGCACGGAGACTGGAGAGCCATCAGGGAAGTGGGGAGGCCATAAAAACGTAAGAAGAGGCATGCTGGATGAGATCAGTGGTCATCTGGTCCAGCCGCCAACCAGTTGCCCTGCATGGCCAGCCAACAGGAGCCTAGTTTGTTGGCACAGAGTTGACTCTTAAGCAGAAAACCATGGCCTTCCAGCCCTCTTCAATTCTTGATTCCTCATTCTGCATCGTGGGCAATCCTTGGCTATTTTTAAGGAACTGGATGTTCAGGCTAAACTACAATTAAATATACGTGCATTCGTTTTCAAACTGAACAGGGGAGGGGAGTGAAAATGCTCAATCTCTTGTCTGAAATTTATATTTATTATTATTTATATTTCTGTGTTGCATTTGTATCCCACCCTCCCCGCGAACAGGCTCAGAGCGGCTCACGTTGATCGATACAGTGTACCTAGTCCACATAAAACATTTTAAACATTTTAAAACAATCATACAATTAAACGATTAAAGTGCTCACAGTAATAGTCATTCCTTCGTTAAATGAAGGTGGCGTATTTTAAGACGTAACCCCAAAGTTCCCGACTCAGTGATCGTCCAGTCTCCCATGACGATGTGGCTCGATTAACCACAGATGTTAATAATAGTGGTAGTTGGTGGTAGTGGTGGGCGGCTCCTAATTGAAAGCCTGGTGGAAGAGCTCCGTCTTGCAGGCCCTGTGGAATCTGGCAAGGGGGGAGCCTTTGAGTAAGCCCGCACAAAACTTATTGGCCCTCTCTTGGTTGGCTCCTCAGATCAGGATAAGATAGAGAAATTGCTTTCAAATTCTGACCATATAGCGCTACATCAGATAGCGAAATTTTGTTTTTTGGTTGTAAAAGCTCATCAGCGTCCAGGCAGCCACTTGGGTTAGGACTGTTTGTTTTAATCTAATCGATCTTTTTATTCTTGTTATTTTATCTTTTTAAAGACTAAATTCTGTCCATTATTACACCGTATTTTTGGTTTTAGAGTTTAAAATGCTTGTACAATTTTATTTCTATTTAACCTTGTTTTATATTAATAGATTCACCATCTGGATACTTTTGACATTGTAATCTATTTATATGATAATTATTTGCAGGTTTGGTTTTATATTGCTGGCTATGCGCTGTAATAACAAATTAATTCATTCATTCATAGTGGTAGTTGGTGGTAGTGGTGGGCGGCTCCTAATTGAAAGCCTGGTGGAAGAGCTCCGTCTTGCAGGCCCTGTGGAATCTGGCAAGGGGGGGGAGCCTTTGAGTAAGGGGTACAGTCCCAGGAAACTTAATCCAAATCGAGTGGAAACTGGAGCTGTTTCGTTATTTAAAACCCACAGAAATGAATGGGAATAGTGAAAACTTGCTCATGTAAAAATGACAATATTGAAAATAGGCCAGATTGGGTTTGTTTAAAAAAAAAATGGTATGAAAAAACAACCCCCACCCCACCCCCCAAAAAGGTGCCACACATTTCCGTTGAGCATCAGGGTAGCTGAAACCCACATTTATATCCCTAGATCATTCTGTACTTTCAACCACCTAAAATATATAGGCTATTTTAAACCTCAGCCTTGGCAAGTATGCACATTTTAGAGTTGAGAGCCATTTTATTCAAATTAAAAAGCTTGCAGGTTGCAGTTCCTAAAGACCACTGAGGAACAGCAGCCTCCGGCCTCCTTCCCTCTTGAACGTTTTATATGTAACCTTTCCTTTTTCAAAAATAGCTGCAGGCTTTATTAAGTACAGACTGGAGGATTGGCTGAGGCTTACAAGCTGCTTAAAACACTGTCAAAGGGTGTTGTGGCAGAGATCCATGGATTTAAGGATTCCTGGAGTTCATTAATACAGTGCAGTAAAAAAAAAAATTGCTTGAAATTATCTTTGGCAGGAAAGAAGAGAATGACTCTTTCATTGGCTGATTTTAATTTTCAAGAGTTTTGTTGTTGTTGGGGGGTGGGTGGGAATAAGCTCCCGTGTTGGTTTTACAAGCTGTCATTCGTTGAATTGATCATCAGGTATTTCAGTGGACTGATGAGGAGGGCAATTTTAATTAGTGGGGGCTTTTGTTTTGAAGTTGTGGTGGTTTCGGAAAGTTAATAGGGGATGCAGAAAACGAAAGCCCAACGTTTAGCTTTTTGGCAGTGTAGTTGTGAGCGAGCCCCCACAGTTCAGAGGCTCGGCTGAGAGTCCTCTCTCTGAACTGCGGTTCGGCATGCCGTCTGAAACGACCGTGGGGGTGCATTCATGAGAATCAAGAACCAAAAGGGTGAGAAGAAAGCCTAATGAAGGGCCAGTATTAAAAACCTAGTTAAAACTTATAATACACGAAAATACAAGTATTTATTGGAAAGACAGTTAAAAACATACATAAGGGCCTAGTGGAAGCCTCGTAAAAAAGTATAGCCTAAACCCAAGGGCCAGTACACATGGCCTGATGCATTTCTGCCCTATTGGGACTTTCTTCAGAGGTCAAACAATATTGAGGTACACATAACTTAAATGCATATTGCAATAAGATAACCAATAAGTGAACATTGGACCAGGAAAAGGAAGGTTAAGCAGCAAAATCTAAAGACACATGACAAAGAGGTTTGTGAGGCCTCAAAAGGTGAAAGTCATGTGTCTGGTGCCAAATGCACAGTTGCTGATTTAGAACATCTTCCAATTTAGGTCCAAAAGACACCTGTGTGGCTATCAAAGTCAGAGCTAGAGTGTCCTCAAGCAAACAGCAGGCCCCAATAGGGCAGAAACGCGTCAGGCCATGTGTATTGGCCCTTGTGTTTAGGCTATACTTTTTTACGAGGCTTTCATTGGGCCCTTATGTATGTTTTTAACTGTCTTTCCAATAAATACTTGTATTTTTGTATATTGTAAGTTTTAACTAGGTTTTTAATATTGGCCCCTCATTAGACTTTCATCTCACCCTTTTGGTTCTTGATTCCAGTTTTTGGGTCAGGTTTGTTTTCCCCTCCCTGTGTCCTACATGCATTCATGAGAAACCATGGCATCAAGTGGGTTTACAGTCCTGGCTTTGTGCTGGTAACAGTTAGATGTGAGGCCTTGGTTGACAAAACTGTAGTTACACTGTGAGCCAGTTTGGTGTAGCGGTTAAGTGCGCGGACTCTCATCTGGGAGAACCGGGTTTGATTCCCCACTCCTCCACTTGCACCTGGCTGGGTGACCTTGGGCAAGCCGTAGTTCTGATAAGAGCTGTTCTTGAAAAAGAGCAGTTTCTGTCAAGAGCTCTCTCAGCCCCACCTACCTCACAAGGGTGTCTGTTGTGGGGAGGGGAAGGGAAAGGAGTTTGTAAGCCGCTCTGAGACACCTTTGGGTAGTGAAGGGCGGGGTATACATCCACTCTCTTCTCTTCTTCTCTCTTCTTCTTCTACACAGTGATTGTTTTTGGGAGGCACATAGAGACGGGAGTGCTGAGCAAACAGCAAATGAAAGCATTTCTAAGCCACCTGTTAGGAATTGCAGACTTTGGCTTGGCCCCCTGTCCGAACTGTCGCCTTCTTTGGAATCGGTCTCCAAAAATGGCCCTCAATGTTGGCATTAATGAGATGGCGTAGTAGAAAGATTTGGCCATATTGACAAATCTCAGCACACCGGTTTGGACAGCTGCTTCATGGCGTGGCTCAAACTCGAGCGTTGTTGGTCTTTGCGAATGAGGATAATTTTGTGCTTCCAAAGGGGTCTGTTGATATGGCGGAGATCAATCCGTGGGACTAAGGTTTCCTTTTCTCCCTTTGTTTCAGTGGAAAGGAACCACCCAGCCCATGAAACTGAACACCCGCCCCTCCAACGGACTTCTCCGCCACATCCTACAGCAAGTGTATAACCACTCGGTCACAGACCCAGAAAAACTCAACAACTATGAGCCCTTTTCTCCAGAAGTGTACGGAGAGACTTCCTTCGACTTGGTGGCCCAGATGATAGATGAGATAAAAATGACTGAAGACGATTTGTTTGTGGACTTGGGCAGTGGTAAGTGGCTGCCGTTCCGGCTTCCCACTCTCCCCTCCTGCGCACCGCCTTGCTCAGAAAACGCTCCTCTCTTTCCTTCCTTGTAAATTCCCTTTTTCACTCATATGCGCTGTTGGCTCGGAAAGTAACCAGTATACAAAGCTGCTGTCTCTGCTTTAGAAAATTTTTCAATTTGGTCGCTTTCCACGTCAGCATCGTTAGCCACGGTCCTGCTGCGGGAGGCAGAACATGGCATCTCGTGTGGGGGTCTTGTGGCTTTTTTCATGGCACCTGTGCTTTGGTTCAGAAAAGGCTGTATTTTTAGACTTTGCTGTAGAGGAGAGAAATGTATTGCCTGTGTGTTTCAGTTAAAAGTGGAACATAAAATAGGTGGGATTCATTGGTGTGTATGGGTGCTGTTACCATTGTTCCCTCTAAACTGAGTTAGTGTGAGCTAGCTCACAGTTTTTTAGCCTCCGGCTCACAGATTTTTGTCTTAGCTCAAGAAGGATGGCTCCAGAGCAAACTAATTCATGCAGTAGCCAAATCGCTCGCTCACAACTTTAATTCCAGTAGCTCACAAAGCAGAATCTTTGCTCTCAAGACTCCACAGCTTAGAGGGAACATTGGCTGTTACCCCTACCAGCTTTGATTTAAGAAGCTGAATCACTGCCTTCAGTTTCAGGGGGGGGCGGGGAATTAGTTAATTGCAGGTCTCGGGGAGAGGCGGGGTATTAGCGAAGATTGTTCTACCAATGTCTATGGGGATCTTTCCCTTTAAGAGAGCTCTCAATGACCAGGAAGTTGCTTAACCAAAACGGCTGTTTTTATTAAAAAGAAGAAAATCCTAATAAAAATGCACACATACAGAACTAAAACATACGTTAAACCATACCAACAAGTAATGGAAGTACAGAGGTGAGTGGGAAAATAGGAGGGTGTTGGGGAAATATTTGTTGCTGTTCAGTCGCACAGTCGAGTCCGACTCTTCGCGACCCGATGGACAAGATCACGCCAGGCCCTCCTGTCTTCCGCCGTCCTCCGAAGCCCACTCAATTTCATGTTCGTTGCATCCATAACACTGTCTAACCATCTCATCCTTTGCCGTCCCCGTCTTCTCTGACCTTCAGTCTTCCCCAGCGTCAGGGTCTTCTCCAGTGAGTGCTCCCTTCTCATTTGGTGGCCAGAGTATTTGAGCTTCAGCTTCATTATCTGGCTTTCCAGGGAACAGTCAGGGTTGATTTCTTTTAGGATTGACTGATTTGATCTTCTTGCAGTCCAAGGGACTCTCAAGAGTCTTTAAACTTTACCTAATTCAGGCGATCAGGAGTCCATGGAGCAGAGACTGGAAAAATGAAAATTACTTCAAATGAATTTGGGGGTGACCTGCCAGCAGGGGGGGGCAGACCCACAGAGACTGAGCTCTGAGTGCTATTTTTATACACCAAAACATGTCCAGAGGGCTTGCTAATGTGCTGGGTCCCTCAGAACAAAGCATTGATGAGATTAATCAGGGACAAAACAATGTGGGGTGGGGACTCTGTATAGAGCTCCCAGGAGTGGACAAAAAGGGACCGGAGATTCTCTTCTAGATGCAAAGTAAAATTTGGATTGGGTTCCTGATTACTTCTCTGGTGGTTGGCTTGCTAATTTAAACTAATCAAAGCGGGAACAATACTGCTTGATGAGCCACCTGGCTTGAGGGTGTGGGAAAGGAGCAGAAGTCATTGTCAAGGAAATGTGTGGCGGAAAGATGAGATCAGATTGGTAGGATTAGCCACTGAGATAGAAAGAAGTAACTCTGGGGCAAGGCAGTTCCATTGTTCGGAGTATGCAGATATGGGGGGGGCACTGTCAGAGAAAGATCTCATGTGCTTTCCAGGGTCATGCCCTAGGCATGATTATGGGGCCTGCCAGTCCTGGCGTCCATCTTTGTGTCCACTAATGTCAAGTTGCCTGGTATATGGACGCATGGGGTACCCCTATGGGTCCATTGGAGGTTGAAACGACCCCTCCTGAGGGGCAGGGGGTCGGCATACTTACAGGGTGGGGGAGATTCAGTTAGTGCAAGGCAGTCAGTTTGGTGTAGTGGTTAAGTGCGCAGACTCTAATCTGGGAGAACCGGGTTTGATCCCCCACTCCTCCACTTGCACCTGGCTGGATGACCTTTGTCAAGCCATAGTTCTGGCACAGCTGTCCTTGAAAAAGAGCAGTTTCTGTCAGAGCTCTTGCAGCCCCACCTACCTCACAGGGTGTCTGTTGTGGGGAGGGGAAGGGAAAGGAGTTTGTAAGCCGCTCTGAGACTCCTCTGGGTAGTGAAGGACGGGTTATAAATCCAATCTCTTCTTCGTCTCTGTGTCTTCCCGCTGTTACTGATTCCCCGTGTCAACACTTGCCATGGTTAGCTGCCATTTAGCATAAAAACAAGTAGCTGAGAACTGAAGTTCTGCACAATAGTTCTGCATGTTGGGGGGGGGGGGAACAGCAGATGCATGGCAAACTGTTTTTTAAAAAAACGGATATGTGTTCTTGCTGTCATTGCCCAAGTGCTTAGGCACCTCAGAGCACAACCTGCCCAGACCTCCAGCCATAGGGGTGCTGACATCCTCGTAGGCTGCCTGTTGAGTGACTCCCTCCCCTGTCTCTCTCAGCTAGTGTTGTGAGGTTGGTTTCACTCTCCTGTGTCTTCGGTCTTCAGCCTGTTCCCCTCATTCACGTGGGCTTCTGATAGGCCAGTGTCTGGGATTCTGGCTGCTTTTGCCTGCCCAATCACTTCCTAGGCTGTACGGAGAGGGTTGCTTCTCCAGTTGCTTCTCCAGCTGGCTTCCCCTTACTGTCTTGTTCTTACTCTCCTCTGGAGTAAGGGAGTGCCCATACTCTGGCTTTCCCACCTCCTCGGTTAACGTGCCCGAATGGAACTTCTTCCATGGTGCTGTGGCACATCTGCAGCAGCGAATCCTGTGAGTTTATTCTTGCGTCCCTCTTTGTGGCTCTCTGGCTCGCAATGGGGTTGGGAGCTTGCTCTTCAAGGGGAGGAAAAGGAGTCAAATCCCACAGGCCATGGCCTGAAGACAGAGCCCCACTTTATTTATTTCGGACGGCCTCAGGGTGGGTATGTGTTCAGTCGCACAGTCAAGTCCGACTCTTCGCAACCCCATGGACCAGATCCCGCCAGGCCTTCCTGTCTTCTGCTGTCTCCCGGAGTTTACTCAATTTCATGTTCGTTGCATATGACACTGTTTAAGCATCTCATCCTTTGCCGTCCCCGTCTTCTTTGACCTTCAGTCTTTCCCAGCATCAGGGTCTTCTCCAGTGCGTGCTCCCTTCTCATTTGGTGGCCAAAGTATTTGAGCTTCAACTTCGGTATCTGGCCTTCCAGGGAACAGTCAGGGTGGATTTCTTATAACAATTAAAACAATGGGTACAGCTTGAAACAGCGTCAGTTGGGTATAAAGCTCTGGCCCGATGGTGCAGTGAGTTAAAGGCCCGTTGTCGGTGGTCAGTAAATAGACGAGTGACAGCAACCTCAGGGAGGCCATAGGCGGGCGCCCACTGCCTCAACCAAAGGCCTGGTGGAACAACTCCGTCTTGCAGGCCCTGCGGAATTGAAGGAGATCCCGCAGGGCCCTGGTGTCAATAGGGAGCATGTTCCACCAGGCTGGGGCCAGGACAGAGAAAGCCCTGGCTCTGGTTGAGGAAAGACGGGCCTCCTTCGGGCCAAGGACCACCAGGAGGTGTTGATCTTTCGTGCGTAACGCTCTCCGAGGCGTATTTAATCTGCCTTCATGTGCAGCTAGATGTTTACTGTATTTTTTAAAGAGAAGCAAAAGTGGACGTCCTTAAGCCCACTGGTTCCTGGGTCCGATGACACACCTGGTTTCTGCAGCCCTGTGTTTTTATCCTGCTCTTCCGCCAAGGAGCTCAGGATGCTGTGCACGGTTCTGCCCTTCTTAGTTCATCATCGCAGCAATGTAGCTACTTTGCACAGGTGGCAGCAGAATAGGAACGGGGCTCTGGGCTCATTTCAGATTGCACGGGGAAGCTCTTGGCCCCAGCTTTACCCCTGACGCATGAAGCTGCTGGTAAAGAAGAATGTAAAGAAGATTTTTTTTAAAAAAATCAGTATTTTGCCATTTTGTCTCGTACTATGTTGTCACAGGGCACTTCAACTGTGTTTCTTTGTCTTGCCGCCTCAGGTGTGGGTCAAGTCGTTCTGCAAGTCGCCGCAGCCACAAACTGCAAACATCATTATGGGGTGGAGAAAGCCGATATCCCCGCCAAATACGCAGAGGTAGGCAGCCGCTTAGTCTAGAATGCATTGGGCTCTGTGGGCAGGATGGGATCCAACTGTGGCAGACCATTGGTGGCCGTCGTGGCTTTGTACACACTGTCCTAATTTCTTTCTTTTTTTAATTCTGCACTGAGAAGCCGTATTCTGCAACCTGTGTAAATTGTGCTGGAGGAGCAGGATCACCATTTGCGCATAATCTTTTTTTTTTGCTGTTGTGTAATTATCTGTGCTTGCCGGAGAGACAGAGGCGTTCCCTCCCGCCAAGAAAAAACCCGCACTGTAAATCTTTGCTGAGTAACCACTCTAGCTTCTAAGACTGCAGCAGGCATTGCTTGTGGGATCTGAAGCATTTCCGTGCACCCATTAATTTAGAAGCAAGCAAGCTCAGGACCTCGGAAACTGGGTTTGGTGCCTGCTGCCCTTACACTGGGCGATCTCTGCACTTCTGGATATACAGCTCAGCATCCAGGCAATCGGTGGGCATCATTCAACCATTGCTGCAACTTCAGAATGCACAGCCGCCGTAGTCCCGCTAAAGCCCAATTGTATAGCTTCAGCAGGGGTCATTTCGTAGAAAAAGAGGCGCAGGAGCTCATTAGCATAACTCATTAGCATAACTTATTTGCATATGCCACACTCCCTGACATCACCGGAAGTGTGTCAGAAGGCAACCCCCACCCCTCAGGCTCCACTGGACTGTTTTGGATTCCTAGCTATTGGGGGGGGGGGGACGTGCAGATCTGTCCTCGCAGAGGAGGGAGAACTTGTACCTGAATAAAACTTGGGCTTAAAGGTGCCACTGGACTGTTTTGGACCAGGGGGTTGGCTCTGCAACGTACCTGGCTCCTTCTTGCTCTGACTGAGGGCTGCTGGGAGCAGGGGGTGGGGCTTGTTGCATGTGCCCGCCCCCTGGGCTCTTTACTGCCGGAGCTCCGCTCCTGTGTGCTCCTGCAGGAAATGACCCCTGAGCTTCAGACCTTACAGAAAACTGACATCCTTGTCTGAAACGTGATGGGAGATATGGTTTTGTTCCAAAGCCAAGGTCCAAGTTCACCTTGTTTTGCTGGAGAAGTGGGGAGCAGGTGCTCAAGTAAAATGGGGTAGAGAAGAGGGGGGAGCAGGTACCAGAAGGTGGGGCTAAAAGCTGCCGACCTTTCTAGTAGGCATGGTGGTGGGGAGAGATAGTGAATGAAGAGCTTGCTTTGCTAGGAACTGTCTCAAGGCTTAGGAAACTGAATATAGTACACACAGAGCCATCTGCTTCAGCCAGTTTGGTGTAGCGGTTAAGAGCACGGACTCTAATCTGGGAGAACCGGGTTTGATTCCCTATTCCTCCACTTGCACCTGCTGGATGACCTTGGGCAAGCCAAAGTTCTGGCACAGCTGTTCTTGGAAAAGAGCAGTTTCTGTCAGAGCTCTCTCAGCCCCACCTACCTCGCAGGGTGTCTGTGGTGGGGAGGGGAAGGGAAAGGAGTTTGTAAGCCACTCTGAGACTCCTCTGGGTAGTGAAGGGCGGGGTATAAATCCAATCTCTTCTCTTCTTCTTCTCTCCAGGCAGAGGCTAGATGGCCATCTGATAGCAGTGCTGAGTCTATGAACGTAGGCAGATCAAGAGAGGGAGGGCAGGAAGGGATGAGCCAGTGCTGAGTCCTCATGGTCCTTTCTTATATGCCCAGGGTAATGCCAATTGCCACCTTTGGCTCAGAAAGGAATTTTCCTCCAGGCCAGATTGCCCAGGAAGGGTTTTTTGCTTTGCTTTGGACACGGGGGGGGGGGGGGGGGGGGGGGGGGGGGGAGGTAGTTGTGAATTGCCTGCGTTTTGCAGGGGATTGGACTATATGACCCCGGAGGTCCCTTCCAGCTCTTATGTTTCTATGTTTCTAAGTACCATTTGTGGAGGTGCTGAGAACGGCACCTGAGTCTTTCTGTGGGGAAAGGGCAGGCCCCGCCTCCAAGCTGCAGCCCCTCCTACAAACGATGCCAAGAGAGTCGACCTTCCAGGCTGCCGGTCCTGATAGCTGGTCTGCCCGCCACAATCCCTTCCGTTCCTGGCCGGCCATCACCGTAACCTTCAGCTTCCTTCCCATCTTAGAAACGGGGCTGTTTTGCTTGCTTGTTTGGGTAGCAGTAAGCTCTCGAAAGGGCTGCCATTCGGCAGCCCACCCTCAGTTTGCTCTGATATTAACCGATAATCAGGTTTACTGACAGTAAGGCATTTTTCTTTTTTGCTTTTGTCTCCTGTCTCCCTCCTTTTCCAGAGCATGGACAAAGAATTCAGAAAATGGATGAAATGGTATGGGAAAAAACACGCAGAATACACAGTGAGTGGAAAGTAAACTGAAACCATGAAACTTGCAAGCTTGGCTTTGAAAACAAACAAAAAAAACCCTTAATACACACACAATGGATGTAGATTACAGCGGTAGATTCTGGTTTCTTAAAACAAAACTGGTTTCTAGGTCTCATGGCAGTGAGGAAGTCACACACTGTGGCATCGGTTCAGGAGCCCCAAGAGTTTCTTTTGCTGCTTGGAGGTTAACCCTCTAAATTCCCCTCTCAAAAAAAAAAAAAGGTTGTTTTCCTTCTGTTCCTGCAAGAGAAGCCGTTTTTCTTAAATTTCAGTTCCGTGGGCAAGCCGAGCAGCCGCAGCGAACCGCTGCCTGGGAATTCCGGCTCATGTTTCCATTATTAAAGACCTAAAAGCTTCTTGTCGCAATTAGTGCAGACAGATGGCGCTTCTGCGGTGCCACCGTGGAAGTGTCCCCCCGGAATGCTATCCAGGTATCTGGGGGCGTAATGATGTGGAGCTGCTTCCATGCAATGTGGCTGCGCCCTTGTTTCCAGGCTGTCTCTAGTAATGAGGTCTTTCTCTTTCTCTCCCTTTTAAATGATTCCCACCTGTCTGTGTTTTCCCTCCCCATTTCCCTAATAAGAAAATAAGTCGCTCAGTTATCTATGTGCATTTGGTCAGGGTGTTTTGTGTGCGCGCGCGCGCAAGAGGAGGGTAATGGCAGCAGAGACCCACACGGCCTGTAATGTCTTTTAGTAGAGAGTGGTGTAACTCTTCTAGCCACGAGGAGACCGACAACCAGTACACACCAGCACAGCTCAGGTCCGTAACCTTGTTTATTCAGTAGTATCCTCGATAGTAACACACGCCCCGACCTGCAGGGAAGGAGGCTTAAAAAACGGAGAGAGGGAGGAGTGCCTCTCTCAATCCTTTTCAGGTGTATAGCACGATACAACTTAATCTTAAAGAGATATACACCGCAGTGTTCCCTCTAAGCTGAGTTAGTGTGAGCTAGCTCACAGTTTTTTAGCCTCTGGCTCACACATTTTTGGCTCAGCTCAGGAAGGAGGGCTCCGGAGCAAATTACTTTATGCAGTAGCCAAATCGCTCGCTCACAGTTTTAATGCCAGTAGCTCACAAAGTAGAATTTTTGCTCACAAGACTCCACAGCTTAGAGGGAGCATTGCACACGGGTACAGCTTACATGGGGAAAATTACAGTATGCCACCACATCTTATATTTCTGTGTTTTGCGTTGGCTGGATTAAGTATCTGGGGAGAAGTGTGGGGGTATTGTATTTCATTTTCCACCCCTCCCCTTCTCTGGATCCTTGCCTGAGTTCAGCTCCTTAATCTCCAAACAGAGAGCTGTATTATGGGAGTTAATGGTTCATAGGACTTGTTAGTGCTAAAACGTCTGAAACGCAGCACTCAGAAATGGGGTCTGAATTGCATGGATCTGGTTGGCAGAGCAGAATCTCCCCCCCCCCCAGCCCTTATAACAGGTAAATGAAGCATATGAGGATGGAAGTAGGAGAGCTCTCCCCTCTCCCCTTCTTGTAGTTCCTGGCTTTTGCTACCTTTTCCTAATAACTGTGGCTTTCTGCACATTTCCCCCCCACCCCCCATCACTGAGGATAGTTCTTAACCGTCTGTCCTTTTGCAAGAAAGAAAAAGAAAGAAAAGAAAAAAGAGACTAGCAGGGTATTAACTTCCGTATATGTGTATTTAATGCCCCGTTACCAAGCGGGAACTTCGGCTGTTTTTGAGATTCAAAAAGCCCTCCAAATGCCTTTGGCGGCTCTGAAACAGAGCCACCGTTCTGCATCTCTGGATGCCTGCCGTGCGGTCATTTTTTAAAAATAGCCGTGTGTGCTTTTCCAGGGAGAACAAAACGGTCTTTGTGAGCCAAACGTATTGCACGGAGGCCGCAGCTGGAAGGAGACTTCTCCCCTCCTCTCCGTGCGTATCGTGTCATGCGCTCAGCCAAGCCAGCCGGCCTGCTTGCTCTGCTTCCCGCTATGGGTCTGGGGGGAGGGGGGGGATGCCGCTGCCCGCATCAGTTTTTAGGATTTGAGTTTTTGGAGCCCAGAACTCAGCTTCGGGAAATCTGTCGCCGCTGCTCTCCTAATGGATGCAGGCTCCGCCGCAGCACCTCCCGTAGATTCCCGTCCCCTCACCCCCCACCCCATCCCTCCAGTCTTGACTGCCTCTTTTTGGCTGAGACTCAGCCCTCAGATGCTGTGAACCTGGCTTTCCGTGCTTTCTGCTGGATAGGCCTCCCGGTTCTGGAAACCTGCCTCGGCGCCACTGCCTAAATTGGGAAGAGGCAGGGGCGGGTGACGTTTCAAAGTAGATTTTCAATTACTTTCAGCACTGGGGCCCCTGTCATTCCCTAGGAAGAGCCCTGTCGTGGATGTTCCTTCCTGTCTGTTATTCATTAATGAGACTAAGGTTCTGTAGGTGAGATTGCAGAAATTTGGACAAGAGGGGTGAAGAGGGCAACCAATCCCTCCTCGTGCACCATGGCACACTAGCGCAATCTGTTTTCGTAGCCTGGGCGAAAGGGGATGCTGTGGCCGTCCTCAGCAGACCCGCTTTTGGGGCTCTGTCGATTCTCCAGGCATATTTCTGAAATCTGTATCTCTGGCTTGCAAACGTTGTCGCTCGCAGGCAACAGTTTGTAGCAGCATCCCAGAAGACGCGTGCCTCTGTCCTGTCATTCATGGCACACTGAGAGCCTAAAAGGCCGCGTTTGCTAAAGCTCCCCAGCCTGCTCACCTGGAGGTGATCTTTTGCTCTCCATGTTTTAAATCCAGAATTAATTAATTTTGGTGGTTTTAAAAGCTTGTGCATCCCGCCTTCCTGTCCAGTTAGGGCCCTCAAGGCAGCGAGTGACTGAAAAGACATTAAAGGTCAACCTCTCTTTCTCTCACATACACGGAGGGTCGGTAATGGAACACCAGGCAAAACAGAAGTGTCTTTACCTGCTGGTGGAAGACAGTGATCAAAAGGAGGGGGGGGATAGACAAATCTCCCTGGGGTGCTGCGACCCAAAAGGCCCTGTCTCAGGTTGCTGCAGGGTCCCTGAAGGTGACTGTAATAGTCGGGTAGGGTTGCATGGGAGTAAGTGGTTCTTAAGGGATGCAGATGCCAGACTGTTCAGGACTTTCAAGGTCATACCAGCACCCTCAATTGGGCCTAGAAGTAGATCTGAAGTCAGTGCTGGAGTGATAACGGTCCCCGAGACCCAATCCAGGCAGCATTCTGACCACAGCATTCTGTATTTAAGTGTAATTTCTGGACCCTTTTCAATGAAATGGAACATTCCAGTCCCGTTTTCTTGGTCTGGCCAAACAAATAGTAACGGTGCGTTTTTAAAAATTCCTGCTACTCACCCATCTCAGCCTTGCCTTTCTGGTGTGGGCAACTGAGGTTGTACATGGGAGAGCCCCTCATTGTATCCCTCCCTTGTCTGACGGTTTGGCGCTTGGGAGGTGGCTACTTTTGGCCAAGTCCCCCTAAACCTCAGCCCTACCTCTGTAGATTGTTCCTAGCCTGAGTATCAGAAGCACTTTCATTCAAATAGGACGCTGATCTCAATATGTTCAGGCTCAGATATGCTGCTAAGCTTCTAATGGATCCCAAGCGTCTATTTGAATGAATTGTATTAACTTTCATGACTTGTTGTAAAGCACTTTAAGAGCAAGAGAGCTTTTGTACCACTCTGATATTCCTGAGGAAGAGCCAGTTTTGAAACGTTGTTATATAATCCGGAGACGACATTGATGATGTATCTTTGATTATGTATGTTTGTTCTAGGATTTTCTTATGATTTGTAGGAATTTAGACTGTAATACACAGGAAGCATTTTTTGCAAGTCTTGTTGACTGCTTGATCTGTGGGTCAGCCTCTCACGAGCAAGCTTGCTTAACGTAAGAGCCACACAGAATAAACGTCAGATGTCTGAGAGCCACAAGACATGAACAAATATCACACACACGTTTTTATTGAAAAATTTGCAAATTTGCTTTTTATTAACATTAATTTAGACTGTGTGGAAGAGCCTCATGTGGCTCCCGAACTGCAGTTTGGCCACCCCTGGTAGGTAACAGCTTAACCTGCAGACCCCGTTCTGCCCACCCCTTCCTTGGGGCCAGGGTCAACTCCTGGAGGGTGCTATTCCACTTCCTTCCACTAGGGTATTCGCTGCCACCACTGTCATCTTGGGAGTTGTCTGCTAGTAGGGGACAGCACATAATGCACAGGACTTTGGGTGTGCTGAATTTACTGTGCAATCCTAACCATGTATACTCAGAAGTAAATCTCATTAAGCTCAATGGGCTTTGCCCAGTGCTGACCCAGAGGAAGGCTCAGGGAAGCCCCGTTTCATCAGATCTCAGAAGCAAAGCAGGGTCGGCCCTGGTTAGTACTTGGACGGGAGACCACCAAGGAATACCAGGGCTGTGATGTAGAGGCAGGCAATGGCAAAACCATCTCTGAACATCTCTTGTCTGTCTTGAAAGCCCTGCGGGATCACCACGAGTCAGCTGGGACTTGTAGACAGGGGGGAAAACAAGAGTGCCTAGGATTGCAGCTAGCATGTCATCTTCACTCAGTGCCTTTTTTTGGTGTGTGTTAAATTTAATCTGTGCAAAGGAAAAACACATAACACAGTCTCATCAAATTTTGGCAAGTATACCAATAAAAATTGCTGCGTAAAGCTTTGGATTCATTTGAAAACAGCCCTTGAAACCACACTTCATTTGTGAGGCTTTTTTTGGCTAATTTGCGCTTTCTAAAAACTTGAAACGAGGGTAGCTTTACACGTCTCTCTGGGAGGGCACTGCTGTGGAGAAGCCCAGGCTCTTCTACTTGCTCCTACTTATACTTGCTCCTAGGAGAGGGCACACCGGGATTATCCTGTAAAGATAAGCCCCCCCCCCCAATAGGTACCCTAGGCTGCCTTTCAGACTACATGGAAATCTGTGCGGAGCTGCAGTCTTAGTTTTCGTCATGGTTTGGGTGGACGGGGAGGAAATACACATGGATTGGAGTCGCACGCAACCCGAGCTAAAGATAAATTACATTCTTCCCAAGACTCACAGCTGGTAATACTGATACAGTAATACACGCAATATCAAATTGAGAAGTCTCGGTTCCATTCAGCATGTGGTCCACTGAATTGTAGTAACAGAAGTTTACTGGGGTTGGGGATTTAAATGTATTTAAAAGATTTACATTCACAAAGGGGGATATGTCTTTTCTGACGTGTGGCATCTTAGCAAGCATTCTTCAATTATGCCCCAGATGTGCATTTGTCAGGCGCGGGGAAATGGGATTTCAAGATTCATTTTCTTTCTTTCCTTAGCTGGAAAGAGGTGATTTCCTCTCGGAAGAATGGCGAGAGAGGATTGCTAACACGAGGTACCATATCCTGTCTGGGTGTTGTGGTTTTTGTCTGTTTCTGTACTGCCATTTTACCAAGGATCCCCGGATGTTGTCATGGGTTTTATTCTCCTTCACTTTACCCTCACAACAGCCCTGTGAGGTATGCTAGGCTGAGAGAGGACGACTGAATAGGTTTGAATCTCCTTCTCCCTGGTCGTGGTATGATGCTCTGACCAGTGTTCCCTCTAAGCTGAGTGAGTGTGAGCTAGCTCGCAGTTTTCTAGCCTCCGGCTCACACATTTTTCTCTTAGCTCAGGAAGGATGGCTCCAGAGCAAACTCATTTATGCAGCAGTCAAATTGCTGGCTCTCACCTTTACTGCCAGTTCCTCACAAAGTAAAAATTTTGCTCACAAGACTCCACAGCTAGACCAGCATAGAAATCCGCTAAATAAATAAGAATAAGAGTCCAGGAGCACCTGAAAGACTGACAAAATTTGTGGTAGGGTAGGAGCTTTTGTGAGTCACTGCTCACTTCTTCAGATACTTACCTCACTGCTTACTACAGTCAGTGCTTACTTCTTCTTCACCTGAAAGACCGACAAAATCCGTGGTAGGGTAAGAGCTTTTGTGAGTCACTGCTCGCTTCTTCAGATAATTACCTCACTGCTTACTATAGTCACTGCTTACTTCTTCACCTGAAAGACTGACAAAACCTGTGGTAGGGTAGGAGCTTTCATGAGTCACTGCTCGCTTCTTCAGATACAGCTGTATCTGGAGAAGTGAGCAGTGACTCACGAAAGCCCCTACCCTACCACCGATTTTGTCAGTCTTTCAGGTGCTCCTGGACTCTTACTCTTTTCTGCTGCTGCAGACAGACTAACACGGCTACCCATCTCGATCTATCTAAATAAACCAGTTGCACTATATACGCTTGCCTTAAATACAGATTTATTTAGACAGCTGTCTGTCTCTAGGGCTCTTGGTCCTGTCAAGCCCGTACTTCTCTCTGTGAGGTTTTTATATCTCAGATTGATGTGTGGCCTTTTGACTGGGGTTTGACCTTGTGGGACAGGAGAGGAGGTGTTGCTGGGATTGTTGCCCATCCCCTTCCATATCAGTGGGAATGGAAATATTCGGCAGGCTCAAGACAAATTGCCTTTACTCTAGAACAGTGGTGGTGAACCTATGGCACGGGGGCCAGAGGCGGCACTCAGAGCCCTCTCAGTGGGCACGCGTGCCATCGCCCCAGCCAGGCCCAGACCGTCATTAAAGTGTCGAATTCTCTGCCAAATAATGTTAAGTAAATGAAAGCATTTTGGATTGCTTTCCTTGCTTTGTTTGGATCATCTTAAGTCAATGTGTGAGTTGTTTTTTCTAAAATAAAACCTCAGTATAAGTGGGTTTTGGGTCGCAGTTTGGGCACTCAGTCTCTAAAAGGTTTGCCATCACTGCTTTAGAAGAAGGACACAAGGCCCTGAAATTAATGGGGTTGATGTCCACCAAACAACAGTTGGTGACATGCCAGGTTCAGCCTCCCATTCCGTCCTGAGTGTTGCAGGGGTGACCTTAGACCAGTCATGCTTGCCCTCACTGTAACCTACTTCACAGGGTTGTTGTGAGGGTGAGACAGAAGAGGGGACTACCATGTATTGCCACCCTGATTTCCTTAGGAAAGGGTGAAGTAAAAACGTGATAGAGCTGGCTTTGCATGGTGGCTAAGTGCTTCGAACACCAGGGGTTCTATAGAAATGCCAAATGTACAATATACTTATTGTTTAAAGATGGGATATGTTCTGGAGATCTTCTCTCCCCCCTCCCCCATGAGCATCAGCAGCTGACTTTGGGTGCCCTGGCATTGAGAGTGCACAAGTGACGCTTTTAGATCAGGTTAATGGTCCATCTGTCTGCGCCAGCGTCTTATTTTCATGCAGTGGCCTCCCAGATGGCATGGAGGCAAAAGCCACCCCCTTTCTGTCCACAGCACTTGTATTCAGAGGGTTACGGCCTCTGATCACGGAGGTTTTATTTAGGCATCGTGGCTTAAACAGCCACTCACGGACCAATCCGCCACGATTCTGTCCAGTCACCTTTTAAAGTCATCTTGGCCATCGCTACATCTTGTGCCAATCACTTTTTGAGCCAACAAGAACTTCTGCGTGTTGTAAATCTACTGCCCATCACCTTTCTTTGGGGGCGGCAGGTTCTGGTATTAGGAAAGAGGCAGGAAGCGCCCTCTCCTTCCCGTGCGTTTCCTCAGCCCTGAGGGAGCTGACTTCCGCATCTGCTCTTGACTCTCCCCCACCCTGGTGTTCTCCAGGCACAAACGTGTCCGCTCCCCTCAAGTTGATCTCCAGTTTGTGGGTCCGATGCAGAGCCAGTGGGGGCGCAGTGGTTGGTCTTTGCAAATTCAAGGTGGGGGGAAATACTTTCCCCATTCTCAGTCAGTGCATTTCAGAGAGACCACATTGCCTGCTAAGTATTTCTGTCTTGCACTACCAGCTATCTACTTAAAATGGAACGTCTTACCAACGTGCTTTTGTCCCACCAGCGTTATATTTGTGAATAACTTCGCCTTTGGACCTGAGGTGGATCACCAGCTGAAGGAGCGATTTGCAAACATGAAGGAAGGTAAATAATGGGAGCCCCTTGTGGACTGTGCTGTCTTGGTCGTGCCGTGCTAAGGTGGTGAGCGCTCGACTGTGTTGGTGATCGGCTGTCTGTCTGGAAGTGGCTTGCTCGCCTTTGTCCCTTGCAGGTTTGGAATGGCTCCAGCTGCTGCCTGAATGTAGATTATAAGCTTCCCGGGCAGAGAGTTGGCCGTTCTGCTCCTTTGTGTAGATATCGTCATTGTGTTGTATGGGATTCCTGAGTGTCTTTATATATCGAGACTAGGAAGTGTACCGTGACTTCGGACCTTTCCAAGTTGGCGTTGGAACAAAAAAAACCCCCCTCAGATCAGTGCTTTGCACATCTATTTTTTGTATGCGTACATAGATTGATAAGTATTGTGTGTGGTGCAGGGGTAGCCAACTCTTTGTTGGCCGTCGCTCCTTCCAAAAGGGAGGGTGTTTGTATCGGCGGGTCTCCTGGGGTGCCCCCCCCCACGCTTTAGCCTCTCACCATCCAGGCACCGCTAAACCGACTCAGTATAATGCTCCTTCACGTGTTCAAGGCAAAATTAGGGTGCTTCTCTCCCTCTTCCCCTTCCCCTTCTTGGTCACCACACATTTTAGCGAGAAGACCCAGGGGAGCGACGGTAGGAAACCAGAAATCGTCAGCCGTGCTGTGCTGATGGGCAGCTCAGGCGGAAGCTTGCCCTGGCCCATCAGCTGTTGTGTTCTGATGGGGGAGAAGGGGGGGGCACAGTGTCCTCCTGCCAGCTCTGAGCAGGCGACAGGCCCGGACATGCCTGAACACAGGAGATGGCTGGGAGCATACCCTGGCATCCATCCCTCTCCCTCCCCATCGTTGCCAGGTAGCTCATGGGGCCAGGGCATGCCTGGATGTCTCAAATCCAGGTGCATCCTGCACCCATCAGCTGTTCAGCAAGGACCCCCCCTCCCCAATTGATTACTGCTACGGAGCCAGCTTGTCATTGACTAGATGGCAACTCCTGATCCGGGGAGTGGTGTATTTCTGTGGTCTTCCCCTCATTCCCGGACTCCAGATGCGTCGTGTAGTTTGGTGTAGTGGTTAGGAACGTGGACTCTAATCCGAGAGAACCGGGTTTGATTCCCCCACCGCTCCACATGCAGCTTGCTAGCGTGACCTTGGGTCAGCCACAAGTTCTCTCGGAGCTGTTCTCTCAAGGGCAGTTCTCGAGAGAGCTCTCTCAGCCCCGCCTACCTCACATGGTGTCTGTGGTGGGGAGGGGGGAGGGAAAGGCGACTGTAAGCCACTCTGAGACTCCTTCGGGTAGTCTTCTCTTTTCTCCTTCTTGAGTCCTGAGTGGGGTTCAGCCCCTGTGGGAGCTGGGCATCAGCTTGCCATCTCCCTATGGTCCAGCCACGTCAACATGGCCAGGCTGAAAGTAGCAGGATTCTGCCACCAGCGTCACCCATTCCCCCAGCTTTCACTTCCTCCTTCCATGTAAGGGAGAGAAACAGAAATTAAAAAGAGAGCCTGTAGCAAGCAGTGCTGCTCACTTGGTGCCCAGAGGCAGGAAAAGTCCCTCCCCCCTGTTCTGGGGTTCGGAAGGGAGCAATCAATTTGCAAACGGTGATCCATACGGGAAGCAAAGGAGGTGGTGAACGTCAAACCTGCAGGTGCCACAGTGAGGACGCCTGAAGCCAACAGGGCGACCACGATAGACTCCCCCCTGGGCCCTCACCCATTTGGGGGAATGGCGATTCCAGTCTCGAGGAGCTGCTATGGAGAATCCTGGCTCAACAGCAGACTGCTGAAGACCAGTATTCTCCTGTGGTTTCTCCGTCAACCAGGGCTGTTTCTGACGTAGCCGAGTCCACAGGAGGCACCGTTCCAGCTAACGAAGACTGTTTGTATGAACAGTGTGGAAGCCCTTCTGGTGGCATTTAAGTAAGCCACGGTGGCGGTGGCCTTTACAGAGCCAGCCTTATCCACCGTTCAAGCTCTGAGCACAGCCAGTGGCTAGCGATTACGGAAAAAAAGTTTTAAAAGAGCATTTTCCCGAAAAGTCATATCATAGACAAGAGCACACAGGCAGTGCTTCCAGCCCAGCCACCTTTTGGAAAAGCCTGCCCTCCTCCAGAAATGGCTAAAGCCAGAAAGGCAGAAGGCCCCTCGTGGCAATGCCTCCAAAGAGTCGAGCCCGGGTCCCTTAACAACACCCGGAGCCTCTGAAGAAGTTGGCCCAGATAATAGATGACTTCTGGGCCTCCAAAAGATGCAGGGACAGAATGAGGTGAGCCCAAAATCCTGGGGGCCCACAGCAGATGGCTGCCACCACCGCCCACTTAATGGCTCAAAGTGCACGGAGATAACAGAATGAGTATACCACATGGCTGTATTTGAGGAAAGATTGGTCCACCCGCACCGAGCCTGAGGGACGAGCCGGACTTGCGGCCTGAAATAAAGGAAGTGTGTGTGTAGAGAACCAAAACCAGAGGGTGGAGGCCTGCAGGACCCTCTGTGAAGACTTAGTTTCACATTTGGCCAGCCCAGACACTTTTTCTGGAACTGCCCCTAAACGGAATACAATTGGGCATTCTCCCCCCCACCCCACCCCGAAGTTGGGTCCATGTGGAAGGTAGCCTCTCCCCTGTTGGTCTGTGCCCCAATATTTGGCCAGACTTTAATTATTACACTGGACCTTGGAAGTGCTATGGCCGTTGCTTTCCTGGCGGTAATCCCCCAAGATTTATTGATCTGCAAACAGCCTGCTGCATACACTGGACCTGTGAGCAATGGCTGGCAGTGGAAGATCTTATACACATGGGCCTGTTATGAAGCCACAGTGCCAACTGCTGTGCTGAGCAGTGACGTTTGGCATCACATGTGAGCTGCCTCATTGGTGATCTCTGGTCTGAAGGGCCAACCCCAGGTGGGATTAGAAGATTGTCGCTGAGGCCAGGGAAAAGCTGGAAGCTCTCTTACCCAACGCTGCCCAGCCAGAAGAAGCCAAGGGGATGGGAAGCAGTTCAGAAATTCATAAAACTGCAGAGTGAGAATTCAACTCTCAAGATGCAAGGGGCCTCAGTCTGAAAGAAGACCAAGTCTCCAGTGATGAAAAATAAAGTGGGGGAAGTAACACAACTGATGGACCCCAAGCGAGCCTGTCGTGTTCTGGCCTACCTGGATGTCCGAAAGCATTGTCATGCCTGTCTCACGTGCCAACGGGCATACCCATGAGTGCTGCCCCAACATCCCTGGATAACACCAGAACACTTTTTCTGCATTGATACGGATTCTGTGGGGTTGACATTCCCCAAGAAGTCCTGATTGATCAAGAGCGGAGTTTCACGTCATGTTTATTCCGCCAGCTCTATCGGGCATTGAGGCTCTGTCACCTTAGAACCTCAGCTTATCACCCCCAGATCAACGGTCTTGTAGAAAGATTTGTTCAGTCATTAGACTTGATGGTGGAAAATTGCATGGAAGAAAGGCCATCTGATTGGGACCTCTTCCTTTTTGCAGTTAAGCGAAATCTCTCAAGACTCTACAAAGGTGTCCCCTTACTGGCTAGTTTTTGAACACACACCCCCCCCCGAGGCCCATTGGTGATCCTAGCTGAATGCTGGGGGCAACCAGAAGTCCAAACAATGGGGGTAGACGAGCACATGTCCCAGTTCCCAGAATGGTTGCAGTTTGCCCAGGAGTGGGTCTGCAAGCACTTAGCTGCCCCAAAAAGGCAGTATAGGCAGTGGACCTGGACTAGTTGGAAGGTTCCCAGGTGCTGGTAAGGGGGCCTGTGGATAGAACCAGGGGTCATTTCGTAGAAAAAGATGTGCAGGAGCTCATTAGCATAACTCATCAGCATAGCTCTTTTGCATATGCCACACACCCCTGACATCACCGGAAGTGTGTCATAAGGCAACACCCACCGCTCAGGCTCCACTGGACTGTTTTGGATTGCTAGCTATGGGGGGGGGGGACGTGCAGATCTGTTCTCGCAGAGGAGGGAGAGCTTGTACCTGAAGGCGGGCCGAGGGGGGGCCCTCTGCAACATACCTGGCTGCTTCTTGCTCCTCGTGGCCCAACTGAGGGCTGCTGGGAGCAGGGGGCGGGGCTTGTTGCGTGTGCCCGCCCCCTGAGCTCCTTACTGCCGGAGCTCCGCTCCTGTGCGCTCCTGCAGGAAATGACTCCTGGATAGAACCACATACCGTGGTTGGGAAGAGGGGGACCTCTCCATATGCAGTACAAGTAGGCTGAACCTGGGCTAAAACCGAACGATTCCAAATCAGTCTTGGGTGGAGAAGCCTGCCCTGTTCACCTGAGTGGAGGAGCTATCAGAAGGGAAGAGGGTCCTCCACTGGTGGCAGAATGGGGCAGGTTTGCCTGATATTCCACAGAAACCTCAATCTGTGCTGAGCAATCCCAGTTATAAGGCCGCCTGGACCAGTACAGGGCTTGTTTTCACCAACAACGAGGTGCACTACCATGAGCACTCCCTCTGGCAGCAGGGAGTTGTGGAACCCTCTAGCAGCCCGTGACTGGGTCTGATAGCACCTGTCCTGAAACCTGAGGTGTTTGGACATTAGAAAGGCGAATATGTTCTTTGCCTTCCCTATGCCTGGAGCACTGTATTGGCTGGAAGCAAAGCCCGGAATGTTAACAACGGGCTAATTCCACTGGCAGCCCAGAATAAGGGATTAATAGCATTCACCACCTTATGGGGTCTTCATCAATTTGTCACTGTGCCCTTCAGGTTGCATGGAGCAGCCACCACATTTCAGCAGTTGTTGACTGATAGTTATGCCCCGGTCATGAGTATGTGACTGTGTACATTGACAGTGTGACAGTTTATAGTGATTTGTGGGACAAACATCAAAGGCATCTGCAGTCAGTTGTCTTGGACATCGGGACGGGCTGGTCTTCATCCTCCAGAAATTTATGATGGCGGGAACCTGGATCCAGTATCTTCGTTATTGGACAGGAAACAGGGAGCTGAGTACCATGCAGGGCAAAATCCAAGACTTACAGGAACCATTGGCTCCCACAATCAAGAGATGGTTCCAACGGCTGCTAGATGTGGGCATGTACTACAGTCAATTTGTGCCCAGATGTGCCACCTTAATACCTCTGTTGTTGGATTGGTTACAGAAGAGCATCAAGGAACCAGTTCCCCATTCCAGTGCCTCTCACAGCATTGAGTTCCCTATTTATATTGTCTGACTCCCACAGCATTATGAGACCTCGGTTTCATTAAGCCATTTCTACTGTACACTGACTCTTCGGGGTAGGGCTAGGAGCAGTACTAATGCAAGAACACCCCGTGCTTTTTATGATTTGTAAGTTGTTTCCCCCAGGAGAGAGCCTAGCCTCCTCTGGAAATGGAAGCACTTGCAGTCAAATGGCCCCTTACATTGTGAAGGTATTACATGCTTTGTAACCCTTTTACTTTAATCACACAGCCCTCCGTTGACTAAAAGATTGAGGACATCACGAGAGAGTCCAGTGGTGGACGTTGGCGTTGCAGCCCCCTGACTTTATTGTCCACCATCATGCAGGACATCAGCACCCCAACACCGACTTTTGCTCCACGCCCACAATGTAGAGGGATCTAGAACTTTTAAGGGAATGGGGTATGTGAGCGGGGCATAGCCCTGCCGGAGTCAAATGTCAGTTTCCCACGTCCCTTAGCCCAGCCAAGTGTAAACACGGTGACAGGATTCCACTGCCGGCAGGGCAGAGACTCAGAAGGACCCCCGAGCTGTCTGGGGGGAGGGGGAGGACAGAGAGGTTGCACTGAAGAAAGCTTGCCCAGGGCCTGGGGTACTTACTGGGGTAAAGTTCCTCCCCTGCTGGAGGGATCAACAGTCCAGTGGACTCAGTCAGAGGATTGGGAACTGGCTGAGAAGGATCATGTCTGTTTCCTTCCTTTGAGTATCTATAAGTGAGAGAAACAGCAAGCCAGCTCACATTGGGCACTCCAAGAGAAGGGTGGCCCGCATCCTGAGGCTCAGGAGAGAGCAGGAAACTTGGCATGTTTCTCTTGCTGTATTCACCTCTGCTGGTTATTGGGAATGTACAAGTATCTGGCTAATAATAACCGTAGCACTACTTGAGCGGAAAAGCTTTGTAGGCGTGCCACCTGAAATGCAAAACGGTGCTCACCCTACCTCAAAGCAGTCACATAAGCTTTTCCAAGCTCTTTAACATCTCTCCGAAACGTACTCACTCTTTTTGGTTCCAGTTCCCCTGGTCTTGTGTCCAGTGTCAGCACAAAAATCATATGTGCAGTTTTGAACCAAAACAAGCATGCGCACGCATGTTCAGAACATGTGAAAGCATGGGAAATACAGCAGGGCCCAATGCCTCCCCCCCACAAGAGCACAGCCCTGATCTGGGTTGGCTGAGTAATCCCTTGCCCCAGAGACCCTCTGAAACAAGAGTCTGTTTTCCTCTGAGAGGACAACGGCGCCTGTCCTCCCGACCGGCCTTAATAGGACAAGCATCCTATGAAGAGGGTGTCAGGCACCTAGAAATCCTGTGACATAGAACCCGATGTATGTGGTCTCTGGAGTGAAAGGCACCAAGAGCAGAACCTTCTCGGGTGACTTCTTTGTTAGAGACGTGTACCCTGTGTTTCTGTTGTAACAGTAGACACACAATCACACACACACACACACCCGCGAGACAAAAGTCTGAATACAGATTATTTGCCCACTGAATAACAAAATGCAAGGAAGGTAAGAGGTGATCTAAAAACCAGCTTGTGAAAATGAGTCTCCTGTAGTCCCTCTGGCAGCACGAGAGCAGAAAGGCTATTTGGGGATGGTGCCGGTCATAGCTCCGGGGGTGCAAAGAGTTCCATAGCTGGGGGGCGGGTGGGGGTAGAGGCAACGGGTTGGGGGGGGAAGGCTCTTTTTCAGAGGTCCCTGCTAACTTCTCATCTCACCATGGACCGCCCCCCCAGGTGAGTTCAGCTCCACGTTTGTATGATTTGAGCCCTCTGGGGGTTGGAAGAAGACAGCCGAAGCTTTTCTGTCCAGGGGAGTTGATTTTCCTTGCATCTTCCCTGTATGAGAGATAAACACAGAAAACACCGTGTTGAAATAATAAACACAATATTCACATGTACTTATAGCTAAACACAGAGGTCATTTCGGGGGGGATCGCAGGGGATCGCAGTTCCCCTGGGTGAGGTGTGGGGGGCGGGACACACGACGAAGCCACACCCCCTGCTTCTAGCCGCCCCGCTTCCGGCCCTCATTCAGCCAGGAGGAGGCAGGAGAAGAGGGAGGGTAAGTTGCTTCCTCCCCGCCTCTCCCCACCCCTGGCTGCCTGGGGCCAGGGAGGGCCTTGGCAGGGCTTCCTCGCACTCCCGCCGGCCTTGCAGGTCCACCACCGGGCCTTATGATGTCAGGGGGTGTGGCATATGCTAATGAGTTATGCTAATGAGTTCCCCTAGCTCTTTTTCTACGAAACGACCCCTGGCTAAATATATAAGTACATGTGAATATTGTGTTTATTATTTCAACACGGTGTTTTCTGTGTTTATCTAACTTAGCCGTGTTCCCTGTGTGCTTGTTGTCTTCCCTGTATGAGACATTCTCTGGGGTGCCTTGGCCATTCAGAACTTTAGAGCAGTTGGGCTCAGAGCCTTGAATTGTGCCAAGGAACTAACTTGGACGAGTTTGCCATGCAAGACGAGTGAGAATCTCTTTGGGCGCTGAGCGATAGAGGACTCCGGCCTGTCTTAAGCAGTCGTGGAAGAGAGGCCGCTCGTCTCTCATCAGCTCTGTGCTGACACCTCTAACACATATGACCTTGTGCTGAGAGACCATTAAAATCACCTGCAAGCTTTTGTCCGTGGTGTTTCTGAAAGGCTTCTCCTCCGGTCCAGATATGTGTTCGCAGGGTAGCACAGCGGTGCAGCTACTGGTGCTTAAAATCAGGTCTCGGGTATCTCATCATTAGCGTGACTTTGAGATAAATGAAGTGCAGGTCAAAGCGGACCACCGCACATGGCAGTTCTAGTGGACGGTGGAAAGTGCCATCAAGTCTCAGCCGAATTCCGGTGACCCTGTCGGGTTTTCAAGGCAAGAGACGTTCAGAGGTGGCTTGCCTCTGCATAGGAACCTTGGGCTTCCTCGGTGGTCTCCCGTCCAAGTGCTAACCAGGGCCAACCCTGCTTAGCTTCCGAGAGTGGACACCTCCGAGCTATCCCGGTCCGTCCAGGTCACAGTGCAGTTCTGGTACACATACAGTCCTGGCAGCCGTCACAGTGCCCGCCTGGGGCGGCGTATCCCTGGTGTGCTGTCACATTGCACGGGTGGAGTTCGGGGCCCAGTTTAAGTCAGGCGCTGGGCACTCGGCACGAGCCCACTCTTCTTGCCTGCTGGCCTCAAATTTAAACCGGGGCCAGTTTTTCTTGCTTCAATGGCTATTATTGGCCAAGTTATAATAAATGGTTTATTTGTTCTATTAGACTTCTAGCCCGCCCTGCCCTGCACTGCAAGGCTCAGGGAGGGGTACAACAATGTCATCCATTTAAACATTTTAACGTAGTAACAATTGAAAATGAAATCAGGTGGCGCCATTTAGGCACCAGATCCATAACTTATCCCGGTGAGGTTGTGCAGACTGTGCAGTCTATAAAGCTGCTATGCAGTGCAACGAACAGCAGAAGTGGGGGGAGCCAGGGGAGGCCAAACTGGATGCCTGAATATCTTCAGTCCACTGAAAAAAGGCATTCAGGAATGGGCTTTGGTCCCTGTTTGTCTTCTGCGTCACAAGGCTAAGGTGTGTTCTCCTGGCCTTAGCAACAGGATTAACCCAATTCTGCTTGTCTTTCCCACTGTCGCGGGCGATTCAGTGACACGGGTTCTCTCTTTCTCTTAACAGGTGGCCAAATTGTATCATCAAAACCTTTTGCACCGCTGAACTTTAGAATAAACAGTCGAAACTTGAGCGGTAAGACTTGGCTCTCAGTGGGGTCCATTTTGGCTTGTGTGGGTATAAAACGGTGATAACGCACTCTGTGGGTTGCCGAGAGCCCCATTCATGATTAACCTGTACCGAGGCCTGCACCTAGGGAGGTTTGCAGCTTACCTGTTCCTCCAGCAGCAGCTGTTTCTAGGTGGGCACCACCTGCCAACCACAAGCCACGTGGGCAAGGGCTTCGTCCACTCTCCTGAAACTTGTGACCGGTGCCACACTGGGAAACAGTGCTCAGATGAACCACAAATGGCATGCCAGAGAGCCCCATGTGGCTTCCAAGCCACTAAATGGTCATCGCTGGTCTAAAAACAACCAAGCCCCACTGGGCTGGAGAGAGGTGGGACAACCCAGGGACTTGTCTCTGAGGTGTGGTTAGGTAGGGGAAGGGGGCAAATCTCTCCCTTCTCCCTCCTTTAGCCGCAGAGCCATACAGATGGAAGAGCCGGCTCTGTAAACAGGAGAAACAGGATGGGCAGTTTTGCCTCCTTCCACTTCCCCTTCCTCCTTCTGCATCATACCGTATAGTTATTATATTTCCATGTGTCTCACAGCCTCAGGAATCAACTTTCCCAGGGCTGGAAACAGTTTTTGGGGAAGGGGAAAGCAGGGAAGATCTGTGACCATCTAGTATTCTACCGACAGGTTGCTGGATACATTCCGGGGGGGGGGGGGCTTTGGTTGGCACTCAACAGCCCTGCAGTGGGATTCTGTGTGCCGGCTCCACTTGGGACTCCTACAACTTGAACCCTGGCCTAGCAAGCAAGCAGCCATGGGCTGTATGAAATCGGGCTTCAGGACCCTCTCTAGGCAGAGGAGGAATTGGGCGAATGCTGAGGGACCTGCCCTGTCTTTGCCTGGCCAGCTGAAGCTTCGGTTTCCAGTTCAGTCCAGAAATCCCTGAGCTGAACTGTACGACCTTGCAGTTCCGGGACTGTCCGATGGCTCTGTTCCTGACATGAAACGGAAGGGAGCAAGGAAACCTGAATCCCCCCCCCTCTCCCCCAGGTCATGCCCAGTTTTTACTGTATAAACGTGTCACCCTAAAAATGCACATGCTGGCCTTGACGTGTGTTCCTTTCCTTTGCACCTGTGTGTGTGTGTTTTTAAATAGATATTGGCACTATAATGAGAGTTGTGGAATTATCACCACTGAAAGGGTCTGTCTCATGGACCGGGAAACCAGTTTCTTACTACCTGCATACTATCGATCGAACCATAGTGAGTATACCCATGGGTGGGTGTCGGCTGCCTGAACGCCAGGCTCTGGGATGCATCACTCAGCAAAACGGGCATCTCGGGTGGGGAAGCGGTTCGGTGGTTGTCAATGACGGAGCTCTTTACAAACCTGGCACTATACAGATAACTACGCACCTGCTTTTCTCCTATAAATCTCATGCCTGGCAGATACCTGGGAGTCTGAGTTTGGAGCATGCCTCATTCAAGTCTAGCGGCTTCCATGTGCTTCACTAGGTTCCCCCCTTCCCCACATTTGTAATGCTGCCCAACTGCTTTAAAAGGGGATTAGACAGATTCAGGTGGCTACTATCTTATCGGTGGCTGCTAGCCATGGTGACTAAAGGGAACCTCCACATTCAGAGGCCATCAACCTCTGGTTCCCAGAGCCAGGAGGCAACATCAAGGGGGAAGGCTTTGGCCTCTCTGCCCTGTTGTTGGCCCTCCAGAGGAATTGGTTGGCCGCTGTGTGAGACAGGATGCTGGACGAGATGGCCCATTGGCCTGATCCAGCAGGGCTCTTCTTGTGTTCTTATCAGGGAAGGCCTCTCTGCCCTGTTGTTGGCCCTCCAGAGGAACTGTCTGGCTACTGTATGAGGCAGGATGCTGGACTAGAGGGACCCACTAGTATGATCCAGCAGAGCTCTTCTTATGCTCTTATCAGGGAAGGCCTTGGCCTCTCTGCCCTGTTGTTGGCCCTCCAGAGAGACTGGTTGGCCACTGTGTGAGACAGGATGCTGGACTGGATGGAGCACTGGTCTGATCCAGCAGGGCTCTTCTTGTGTTCTTATCAGGGAAGGCCTCGGCCTCTCTGCCCTGTTGTTGGCCCTCCAGAGGAACTCGTTGGCCCCTGTGTGAGACAGGATGCTGGACTAGATGGCCCATTGGCCTGATCCAGACCAGCAGGGCTCTTCTTGTGTTCTTATGCCACTTGAGGGTGGGCTTGTGAGGGTTTTAATATACGTGAAGTGCAGGGCGGGGGAACTTATGCCTGCAGGGATGGGAGATTCAGCTAGATGAAGGGTATTTAAACAGCGTATATCCTGTATCTCAGTTTAGTGGCCTCCAAAGTACCTTGTGAGTGAAATCCGCAGTTAAAACTAGCGACCATCGGAAAAGCGTCATACGGCCGCGCTGTTAATCATTAGGACCAGCACCCTGCGCATATGTGTAAAAAATTTTTAATCAAGAGCCGTGGTGAGGAAAAAGAATATTTTACCCTGTGGGGGGAGGGAGGTGTTTTGCTGCTGCTGAAGAAAACAGTTTTCTTGGTGGGGCTTAATTCTTGGAGAGGTTTGTGTAATGTACGGATGTGACTAAGAAAAACATCTTGGGGCCTGTTAAACTAGTGAAGACGTTGAGGCTCTGCAGCTGGGAGGAGCCTTGGTTCTCAGTGGCTGGGCGCCCTACAGGAAATGCAGATTTCAGAGACGGGGGTGGATACGTAGGCACTCTCCCCCCACACACATATGCATGTAGACCCCACACTCACTCCTATAGATGCTTTGGTCTTAGAGGTGCTGTTGAAATATGCAGACTTTTCCTCTGTACCTCTCCCCACCGCCACCACCAACTAGAAGCAGCAACAAGGAGATTTTGACTTGTGTGACCATTATAAAGCAAGCTGAATAAAATCCTCTCAAAGATGTGCTTATACTCTGCTTCAGATTAATATTCAGCTCCTGCATAGTCAGTATTTTGTGGAGAAAGAAATGTGTTCATGGTGGCCATGTTAGTGTTGCGCTCTCTCTCCTCCCCCCTCACTGGAAGCAGATAAGTTTCTGAACTAGTCTTCCACTAAGTCATAGAGAGACGGTGCTTTTGCAATTGGAACGGGCTGTGTTGAAATGGATAAGTTTTGAAGGCGGGTGGGGGGATGGGGAGGACACACACACTCTTAAGCAAAAAATGTTGGCCGCTCTGTATGCCATGGTGGAAATCTTTGTTCTTTCCTGAAGACTGACTCCCGTGTGTTTTCTGTTTTTTTATTTTTAGCTTGAAAACTACTTCTCTAGTCTCAAAAACCCAAAACTCAGGGTAAGTAGCCTCTTTTTTTGGAAAAGACAAAACACACACGTATTAGTTGAAGCACTATATATCGCAGCCCCGGGCTTTAAAGGCTTGTGACTACTGCTCGTATCATGACAGGGGTGGTCATACAAATTAAATCAGCGAGGTTTATAGGGCTGTAAAACTGGTGTAAAATTGTGGTGGCTCAAATGGTTAAGATGCCGAACTGCAGACTGGAAGGTCAGTAGTTCAGCAGTTCGATACCCGAGTGCCGCATGACGGATTGGGTTCCCGTCTCTGGTCCCAGCTCCTGCCAACCTAGCAGTTCAAAAGCAAGAAATTGCAAGTAGATAAATAGGTACTGCTTCGGTGGGAAGGTAACAGCATTCTGTGCGCCTTGGCATCTAGTCTTGCCGGCCACATGACCACGGAAGCGTTTTCGGACAGCGCTGGCTCTTCGGCTTGGAAACGGAGATGAGCACTGCGCCCTAGAGTCGGATTCGACTGGCCTTCGAGCAAGGGGAACCTTTACCTTTTTACTAAAACCAGGTTTGCAGGGTTAAGTGGTGAGCACAGGTAAGTGTTAACCGTAGTTCTGTGGCAGCGACAGAAGCTGGCACAGACTCCCACCCCGATGAGATAGATTCGAGTCCAGCCGGCACTGTTAAGATTTTCAGGGCAGAAGCTTTCAAGAGTCAACACTCCCTTTGTCAGATATGTTTGTCACATCTGACGAAGAGAGCTTTTGAGTCTCAAAAAGCTTCTACCCCAAGAATCTCATTGGTCTCAAAGGGTGCCAGCTGGTTTCGAATCTAGATGCTCCCCTGCAGACCCTCACAGCTGCCCTCTGAAATGGTCTTCCCTGATGAGAACACTGTCAGGGGTGTGCTGCCCTTGCCTGAGTGTCTGTGTCATGGAACACACACACAGACACACACGGCTGTAAACAAAACCGTCTTCCACTGGCAAGCGGCAGACTGGTGTGCACATGTCCAGGCCTGCCTTGATTGGGAGGGTGCGCGTAGCTACCAGTTTGGATACCTGGAACCATTACGGAAGAGTAGAACGCAACGTGTACGAAATAAATATTAAAATACTATCAAAATTTCCTGGTACAGGTTCATAGGGATTTGCACTGGGTCCCCAGAAGGGGTCGATGTTCCTTTTAAGCTGTGGAGTCTTGTGAGCAAAAATTCTACTTTGTGAGCTCCTGGCATTAAAGTTGTGAACGAGCAATTTGGCTACTGCATAAATTAGTTTGCTCTGGAGCCCTCATTCCTGAGCGGAGACAAAATGTGTGAGCCAGAGGCTAAAAAACTGTGAGCTGGCTCACACAGCTTAGAGGGAACAGTGGAAAGGGGTACAGGATGGACTATTCGATATAGTAAAATGGCTGATCAGATGGAGACGTGTCCCATCTAACCCTAAATCGGACTCAGCCTTTCTCCGAATAAACTGGAGCAGGGCAGGATGGGTCTCCGGACAAGCACGCGCTCAGGCAGCCGTGTTCCCGCTGAGCAGAGGCAGCTCCTCAACCCTTCCTCCTGACTAGCGAAATCAAAGCCCTTGAGCCACCGCAGCTCCTGCCATAGGGGTAGGACAAATTTACGACTCCAGCAGTACCTTTAAGACCAACAAAGGTTCATTCAAGGCATGAGCTTTCGCGTGCACGCCCGCTTTTCCAAATACGTCGGAATGGCAGGGCAGGTTTCAAACTCGTAGCCAGAGAACGAACAGCAAATGAACATGCCATGGGGGGTAAAAAAACTGAGCTGCTTTTCGAGGACGTCGCAGACTCTTGCTCTTCCATTGTTGTGTTCCCCCTTCTGCGAGTGGGGGGCGAAGTTAGCTAGCGCTTAGTTTTTACGGAAAACCACCTTTCTGCTCTTGCGTGCGTGACTGGGTCCCCCTGATATCCCGTGCAGGAGGAACAAGAGGCAGCTAGACGCCGGCAGCAGAGAGAGAACAAGAGCAACACGACAACTCCAACAAAAGTCCAAGAAAACAAGGTTTGATCTGCCGCTTCATTTTTCTACAAGTCCATTTGGGGGTTTGAGTGGCGGCGTGCCCATCTCCCCTCAAATGGGAGCCAGCTTTCGACAAAACATCTCAGTGTGGTGTTAAAGAATGGTAGATATCTTGCCAGCCGGCGTGGTGTAGCGGTTAAGAGCGGCAGACTCTAATCCAGAGAACCGGGTTTGATTCCCCACTCCTCTGCATGACGCCTGCTGGGTGACCTTGGGCCAGTCACCGTTCTCTCAGAACTCGCCCCGCCCCGCCTACCTCACAAAGCTGCCTATTGCAGGGAGAGGGAGGTGATTGTAACCCGCTTTGAGACTCCTTAAGGTAGAGAAAAGTGGGGTATAAAAAAAGCAACACCTGCTGCACGGCAGCAGCACTTTTCTGTTCAGACTGTTGCTGCCTTTGAAATCACAGAAACTCTTCCCCTAAGAACTAAGTTCAGAATTCTCATGATGCAGGCCCCCAACTTGCTTTGGGGTACCAGGCACATGATCCCACCACTTCGCTGAAGCCGATCAGGTCTGCGGCTGGTCGGGGCCTGTATCAAAAGTCTCCATGGAACCCCACATGCACCACCTTGCATTCCGCGAAAGATGCTGGATGGGGGAGAAATGCTATAAAACGAATGAAGCAGAGAAGAAGAGATTGGATTTATACCCCTACTCGGAGTCTCAGAGTGGTTTACAACCTCCTTTCCCTTCTCCTCCT